TTCACTAAATTTCCTTCTTGGAGCAAAGTCCTATTTGCTCTGCTTGTCAGTGCGCGTGTTTTCTTTCACTGTCCCCCCCAGTTAAGAATTGTGTTATAATATCCAGTTGGGAAGAAGAAGAAATACAAACGAGTTCTATTATTTGTAAGCATTCCCCCCCAAATCCACTTAACTTTCTACCTCTTTTAGATTTACAACCCCAGCTGAGACCAATATTTTCCCTTTGCTAAGCAAGCCGGTTGTTAAGGGAGCTGGGATACGGTTTTAGGACCATTTTGCCATAACTTATAGTTATTAAGTGAGCCGGTTGTTAAGCGAATCTGGCATCTGTTTAACTTTGCTGGTGGGAATCTGCCTGTGGCCCCCCAGGATGCTGCAGTGGTTGTAAATAACATATTGCTTGTATATGGATGCTCTGGTGGTCGTAAGTGTGAGCTGTGGCCCGTTGTAAGTCCCTTTCCTTCCGTCCTGTTGTAACTCTTGGCGTTCGCTAAACGAGGACCACCCAAACTACTTCAGCCTCGGCAACCTGGCACATGCAGGGAACTGGTGTTGGGGGGAAAAAAATATACAAACTGCATATAAGCACTGGTGTTGAAATGTATGTTTAGTTAGGGGTTTATTGATGGATAATATTATGGGTATTTAAAGGAATTTTTTAAAAAAACATCATTTTAACCTCTCTTCCTTACTAAAGCTACAGATGAAATTGAAAACAGGATATGTTTTAAATGGGAAATCAACCATTAGTCTCAAAAAGTTCTGCCAAAGTATTTTGAATTTGGCAGAAAAGGACGCCTGGGATTTTTCTCATTATCCCAGGTTTTTTGGGGAAAAAAAAATCTGGAGAAATACCAGAGGTGATTTATTCCACCTGGTTCCCTCTCCGCCTCTCCAGAGCCCCCAAAGGAGAGTCCTATCTTTCCAATCAATCTATTTTCCCAGAAACACAATGTGGCACCAACGAACCCCGAAAACCGCAAAGAAGATTGCAGTCATATTAAAACACCCAGGTATATTCTAGGAAGAACCGATTGGTTGCAGCGGTAAGAAGACCAGGTGTTTTCCTAGTTGCCATGCTGCACCTGTTCCCCCATGACAGTTTTGGGAGGGGCCCCTGCTGGACTTTGAGCAATAATACCCTGAATGTGTTCTTGTGGTTGGTGGACCTCTTGAGCCCCTCGTGATAGTTGGGGGAGTCCTTCATTTTTGTGCCTGGATCTGTTCTCTGCAGGAATGTATTCTCTCGGGCATCATGTCCGTCAATGGCAAGAAAGTTCTGCACATGGATCGGAACTCTTACTATGGAGGGGAAAGTGCTTCAATTACACCCCTGGAAGATGTGAGTATTCCTTCCTCCCTCCCTCTCCTTCCTTCCTTCCTTTTTCTTTCTTTCTCTCCTTCTTTCTTTCTTTCTTTCTTTCTTTCTTTCTCCTCTCCCTTCCCTTCTCTCTATTTATTTCTCTTTTTCTCTCTCTCACTTTCTCCCTTTTCTTTCTTGCTTTTTTCTTTTTTTCTCACACTTGCTCTCTTTTTCTTTCTCTTTTTCCCTTTTTCTTTTCTCTCGTTCTTTCTTTTTCTCTTTTTCTCATCCACACTTTCTCTTTCTCCCTTTCTCCCTTTTCTTTTCTCTTTCTTGCTTTCTTTTTCCCTTTCCCTTTTTTCTTTTATCTCTTGCTTGCTCTTCTTTTTCTTTCTTTCCTTTTTCTCTCACACTTTCTCCCTTTTTCTTTTTCTCCTTTCCCCCTTTTTCTTTTCTCTCTTTCTTGTTCTTTCTTGTTCTTTCTTTTCTCTTTCTGTTTTGTTTCCTTCCTTCCTCCCTCCATCCCCTTCCTTCCTTCCTTCCTTCCTTCCTTTCTTCTCTCCCTTCCCTTCTTTCTTTGTTTATTTCTCTTTCTCTCTCTCACTTTCTCTTTCTCTTTTCCCTTTTCTTTCTTGCTCTTTCCTTTCTCTTTTTTCTTTTTTTCTCACACTTGCCCTCTTTTTCTTTCTCCTTTTCCCTTTTTCTTTTCTCTCGTTATTTCTTTTTCTCATTCACACTTTCTCTTTCTCCCTTTTCTTTTCTCTTTCTTGCTTTCTTTTTCTCTTTCCCTTTTTTTCTTTTCTCTCTTGCTTGCTCTTCTTTTTCTTTGTTTCCTTTTTCTCTCACACTTTCTCCCTTTTTCTTTCTTTCTCTCCTTTCCCCCCTTTTTCTTTTCTCTCTTTCTTGTTCTTTCTTTTTCTCTCCTTTTCTCTTTCTCTGTTTTGTTTCCTCCCTCCCTCCCTCCCTCCCTTCCTTACTCCCTCCCTTCCTTTTCCATTGAAAGACCTATGGATGATTGATAAGATGGCGGTGTGGAGCTATCAACAATCTTTCTCTCAGCTTGGTTCCTTTTGTGGGGGGGAAGACATTTCTTCCTGGGTGGGTGAGCTGCACAGACCATCCTAACTCTTACCCTCTTCTTCTTGAAAGTTATACAAAAGATGGCATCGCGTGCCAGGACCAATACTGGAGTCGATGGGCCGAGGAAGAGACTGGAATGTCGACCTGATCCCCAAATTCCTCATGGCCTGTGGTGAGTGGCTAGAAACAGCTCTGTTATTCCGTTACTTTAATTCCTGTCCTGCTTTTCATCCTGTAGTGTTCTGACCTAGGCATCCCCAACGGGACAAAGCCGACTCCTCGTCCCGATAAAACCCCTTTTTATTTAGTTTACAGTGAATTCCCCTCCAGCAAAGTCCCGGCCAACAGTCTTTCAAGAGATTTCACAACTACAGATTTTTTTATCAGGCTTGGAGAGTTGCTAGGCCAATAGCTTCCAAACGCCGTGCTGTAGCAGCAATGACTTGGCATGATGTCAGGAACAGATCTTCACCCTAATTAAACGAACTAATTGTCTCCTGCAAACCCCAACTCTCCTTTCGCTCCTCTTTATTCCCCATGGGAGGGGCCATTCACCGTCCACCTGTGCCTTTACTCCCGAGTCGACCTTTTTTTTCCTCAGCTGTTCCCTTCTCCTGGCAGCTCTGTGCATGCGCACACTGGGAACAGGCTCCAGCTGTTCTTCTTCCCCACTGATGTCCAACTCCGAAGGCAGCTGATAACTGTCGGATGGCCTTGGCCCCACGTAGCTCCCTCTGGTGTGGGGATAAAAGTCCCTCTTCCCAGTTATTCTGTTCTTCAACATACTTTCCCTGCCTGACTGGGTTCCTACTGAGCTTCCTGGTTCTTTCTGCAGGCCAACTGGTCAAGATGCTGCTGTACACAGAGGTCACTCGGTACCTGGACTTCAAGGTGATCGAAGGGAGCTTTGTCTACAAGGGTGGAAAGATCTACAAAGTCCCTTCGACCGAAGCGGAAGCTCTCGCCTCTAGTAAGCCAATCAGTTGTTTTCTCTTGATGGATCTCCACAACGGATTACGGGGCGGGCTGCAAAATTATTTGTCCAGGTAGTCCTCGACCTAACGACCATAACGGAGCCCCAAACTTTCACGCTAAGCACGACAGGGGTTAAAAATCATTGTGCCGCAACTTTACGCACTTTTCTTGCCAAGGTTGTTAAGCGAATCACTGCAGTTGTTAAATTAGTAAGATGGTGGTTAAGCTTCCCTCTCGATTTTGCTTGCGGAAAGGTCGCACAAGGGGGATCGCACGGCCAACCACCTGAATTTTGATCACACAGGGAAGCTTGCAGTGGTCATAAGTGTGAAAACTGGTTATAGGTTGTTTGTTTTTTTTCAGTGCCGTTGTAACTTTGAACGGTCACTAAAATGAACCGTTGTAAATCGAGGACTCCTTATGCTCCAAAACAACCTCTAGCCCCCAGCTGGGAAGACCCGATCAGAGCCCACATTGGTTCTTCTCTCTGAGCTCTAGAACAAACCAGGATAGAAGGCGCACATTTTTCACCCTCGGTGTGTCAGGATTGCGGCAGTTACACCCCCATTTAAATCCTGAGTCTCGAGCCAAATTTCCAAAACTTCGAAAGGATTTATTGGGAGTGAACATGCCAGCACTACCTGGGTGCAGCCGACTCTGAGACACATAATTCCTTGACCCCCTTGACCCTGGTTTTTACCCCCACTCCCTGGGTGTATCATAATTCATATCCTCCAATGGGACACCTCCATAGCCCAGAGTCATCAAGCAGGCTCTCCAGCTAGAATTTTGCGCGGCAGAAACTTCAAGTCGCCTTGTTGCTTATCTTTGAAAACATTTATGGAATGCAATTTCGGTTTGCAAGCTGCCGCGCTGTTCCCCCCCCCCCCCCCTTTCTGTTGGCAGCTCTACAAAGAGCAGAGGAAATATTTTATGAGTTGACACGGTGCTTTAAAAAAAAACAACAACAACTTGGGGCTATTTTTTCCCCCCCTTTTAAAGGTTTGATGGGCCTGTTTGAGAAAAGGCGCTTCCGGAAGTTTCTGGTCTACGTGGCCAACTTTGACGAGAACGACGCCCGCACCTTTGAAGGGGTGGATCCCAAGAGAACCACCATGCGTGACATCTACAAGAAGTTTGATCTCGGCCAGGATGTGATTGACTTCACGGGTCATGCCCTAGCCCTGTACAGGACCGATGAGTAAGCAACGCCCCTTCCCTTGAGAGAAAGAGAGAGATCCCTCCCCACCTGGCCTGTGTTTTCCCTCCCTACATCTAAACCGGGGCACTGGGGCAAACTTTGACCACTTGGGGACTTCAAGGCCTGTTTCCCCCCCAAAATAAGACCTATCCTGAAAATTAGGCCCAGCACAATTACAGTTGTGTGCCTAATATAAGACCTACTTAAGAACCCGCAGAGCTGGCCGGCCACCCATTCCGTCGGCTCACAAGCCACGAGGCGGGGTGCTGGTGGAGGTGCCCCACACCGGCTTACCTGAGGGCCCACCAGGCCCCAACACCTGACGTGTAGGAGGAGCCTCCGTGGCGGCCAGCCCGCTTCCTCTGCTCGCTCGCGGCCACAACCGAGCAGGAGATCAAGCGGGGTGTGTGTGGGTGCCGCGGCCGAGAGGCAAGGCAAGTCTCGGGGGCGGGGGAGGTAAGCCGGTGTGTGGGGGCAGCTCCACACCCTCCCCCCGCTTCATGGCCGCAGCACTGGTGCGCCGCATGGCCTCCTACCCCGCCGCGAACAAGAAGTGGACTTCTCGTACATTGGGTGAATGTACACTCTCTGAAAATAAGCCCTAGTGCTTATTTTGGGGGCCCAAAAGAAAATAAGACCTGGTCTTGTTTTCGGGGAGGAGTGGGGTAATCCCCAGGTCATAAAGTTATCACAGCCACCCACCCACCCCTGATCTCAACTTTCTTTTCCTTCAGCTACCTAGATCAACCTTGCCAAGAAACCATCAACAGGATTAAACTCTATAGCGAGTCTTTGGCCAGATACGGCAAAAGTCCCTACCTCTATCCTCTCTATGGCTTGGGGGAGCTTCCCCAGGGATTTGCCAGGTGAGATCTTTTTTGCTGGGCGGACAGGACCTGTTTGGGCTGCCAGCTCCGGTCAGTCTCCTTTATTTCTGGTGTATTTTCTCGGTTTGCGACTCGGCGTGCCCTTCTCTCCTGTAGGTATCAGGAAGGAAAGAATCGGGTCCACCTGTTAAGGTTTATTTAAACGGATGTCTTGCTACCCGTGCCTATGCGCAGGAAGGTGCAATTATAGTAGTCCCTAGCTGCTACTTGTAAATTGGTTCCAGGAGGCCCAATGAGTACTAAAAATGATGAATACCAAACAATGCACGTGGCTGACCCCGTGACTCTCTGGACTTTTTAATCTGTCCCTTTTCCTATGTCAGTGACGTTCCCAGTATGGCCGACTTCCTGTCCGTCCTCGGTGGCCATCCCTCCACTTCCTTTTGCAGCAACCTTGCCGGTACGGCTAACTTCCTGTCCATTCTCCGTGGCTGTTCCCTTCGTCCTGTTGCAGCCTGTCGAGTACTAAACAAATGACGAGCGCCGGTTGAATCTTTTCGTGTCAAAATGTGTCAAGTACCCAATTCGACGGGTTTTGGAGCAGTCGAGTACTGAGGGACCACCGTCAAGTGCTTCATTGCTTCAAAAGCCCTGTGCACAGGAACCCTGCTGGCGAACCTATGGCATGCCTGCCACAAGTGGCACACAGAGCCATTTGTGTGGGCACGTGAGCCCCTGCCAAATTTACCCGCACTGCGCATGCGTGCACTTCCCAGCTGATTTTGGGCCCGTTTGAGGCCTCCCAGAGGCTCGTGGGAAACCTCTGCAGCCTCAAGAGGCCAAAAAACAGGCCAGAATTGCCGAAACAGGCCGGTTTTCAGCCTCCTAGGGCTGCAGAGGCTTCCCTCGAGCCTCCGTGAGAGCGAAAACAGCCACAAACGGGCCGAAAATCGGCTGGGAGGTGCACTACACACGCAGTGCAGGTAAGGGGATGGGGCAGGGGTGTTGCGCACTCATGCGCAAGGGGGCGGGGCACATTGCATTTTGGGTGCCGGCACACACGCACTTTCGGCACACCATAACTAAAGGGATTCCTCATCACTGCACAGGGAATGTTTTCAACTGACAGTCAGCATCTGCTAAGAGTTAGGTAAACGTCAGCTGAATTCAAGAGAAGTCGACGTAGTTCGTTTGTGACTACGTAGGGATGCTAGGCTGATTCCTGTTTTGACTCCAACCCCAGTTTGGAATGGGATCAAAAGTTCCCAAGTTTTGGAAAACGGAGATCGTATAAAGAATGAAGCCTCCTAAGGGCTGTTGTGGAGAGGCTGTCTGGTGTAACGGGTAAGGCACCCCCCAGGCTAAAAAGCAGGGGACCCCAAGTTTTAGCCTTGGACGCTAAGCCAGCTGGCTGACCTTGGGCCAGTCCCTTTCTCTCCATCCGAAGGGGAGAATGGCAAACCTCTCCCAAAAATGTCGCTTAAGAAAACTGCAGAGATTTCTCTCCAGGTGGTTGCCAGGACTCAAAAATGAGATAATAATTAGGCCGGGTGGTCTGCAACTTTAAACACTCAAAAGAGCCATTTGGACCCGTTTCCCACAGAAAAGAAAACCCCGGGAGCCAATAATTTAACAACCGGGGTGACTGGGTGGGCGTGGCCAACTCCACGTCACTCACGCCCACCCAGCCACCACCTACTCTGGTATATGGAGCGAGTCTCCATCCTCTGCCATCACCCTTACCTTCTCAGGCCAGGCGAGGAGCGACGGGGAGGGGAGTGGTGGGATCAGCCGACAGGGAGCCGCAGCAGAGGGCTGAAAGAGCCGCATATGGCTCCAGAGCCCCGGGTTGCCGACCCCCGAATTCGACAAGTCAGTCACAGAGAGCTATTGTCCGGCTGTGAGATTGGGGTTGCAGTGAAGCTATCTTGACTTTGACCAACCGAACACCTTGGGACAATTGCTTCCTTGACAGGTTAAGTGCCATCTACGGAGGGACCTACATGTTGAACAAACCCATCGAAGAGATTGTCATCGAGAACGGCAAAGTGGTCGGCGTGAAATCGGAAGGAGAGGTAGAGCGAGGCTCTTTTTTTCTTTTCTTCTTTTTCTTCTTCTTCTTCTTTTTCTCGGCTCCGGGGATGGGATGGAAACCAGGAGCTCAGCATGGCCTGGCTCTCCCTCCTTTGAAGGCCTCTTGAGTAAGCCCCGAGTCTTATTTCCTTAAGCGCCCCAAAGATTCTTCAACATGGAGTAATCGGTTAAAGATTGAAGATTGTTGTGTGACGTTGCCAACTAGTGCTAGAAGGGAGAGGGATTTGTGGAGAGGAAGAGAATGAAAGGAGGAAGAGGGGGAGGAGGACTACGAAGTCCTCGGTGCTTTCTGAGCTGGGTTGATTGCAGGCGTTTCATGACCCAACTAGGGAACATCAACAGTTGTACACGATACCGCAGTCAAGAAACTACCAATTCAGATAAATAATCAGTAGCCAACCGCCTAATTAAGGAACCTCCAAGAACCACCACTGATAGGGCAAGTCATTTGTATACAAGCAGAGAGCAAACCCCACATTCCCTCCTAGCGTTGATGATACTACCTAGTAGGGTCAGGAGATGTTTGCAAGTAAACAATCAAGCTTAGAGGGCACCAAAGTCTCCTCCTGCTCCTCCCTAGCACTGATAATCTTAACACACACACACACACACACACACACACACACACACAAGAAAAATCTCTTCACAAACCTCACTCCCTTCTAGAACTGATGATACTATCTAGCTGGGTCATGAAATACTCTTGTTTCCCCAAAAATATGACCTACCCTGAAAGTAAGTCCTAGCTTGATTTTTGCACGCGCGCCCAATATAAGCCCTACCCCCCAAAATAAGCCCTAATTGAGATCCACCCACTCCAGAGTGCACAGGTAAAAATTAAGCTAGGGTGGGGATTGGGAGGTGGTGGAACTGCCCTACTACTTACCTTTGGACAGGTGTAGCCAGGCCTCGCACCCCCCCCGACACCTGCCTCGCCGGCCCATTTCTTCTGCAGCCGGCAAGGCTCTCCTGAAGGCCTCTGGAGCTGAGAACAAAGCTCTGGATCGATCCTAAAGGCTGCAGAGGCCTTTAGAAAAACCTTGCTGGCCGCAGAAGTTCCTGAAGGCCTCGGACAGCGAAAAGGAGGCTGTGGGCGATGCACGCAAGTGAGGTTAGTCAGTGGATGACGTCCCCTGAAAATAGGACCTGGTGCCTTTTTGATGGCAAAACAAAAATAATTCAGGGTCTTATTTTGGGGGGAAATACAGTATCTGCAAGAAAGCCACCAACCTCAGAGAGCACTAAGGACTCCAACTCCTCCTCTCTAGTATTAGCCAGCACCACCACCTCCGCTCCAAACCTCACACTCCCTTCTAGCGCCTAGGATCTTCCCTAGTTGGAAACCACCAAGCTCAGGGATCACCCAGGACCCCCGCCGCTCAAGCCTGGCCTTTGGATCTCCTCCCCTGGGCTTGCCCCTACCTTCTGCCATTCCCCGTCCTACGGCGTTCTCGAACCCTCTTCCCCTTTTCCCTCCACCTCCCCTGCAGATCGCCCGTTGCAAGCAGCTCATCTGCGACCCCAGCTACATCCCGGACCGCGTGAAGAAGGTGGGCGAGGTCATCCGGGTCATTTGCATCCTGAACCACCCGATCAAGAACACAAACGACGCCAACTCGTGCCAGATCATCATTCCCCAGAACCAAGTGAACAGGAAGTCAGGTGATAATTTGGGGGAAGCACGAATACTGGTCTCTCTCTGTCTCTCTCACTCTCACTCTGTCTTTCTGTCTCTCACTGTCTCTCTTACTGTCTCATTCTGTCTCTCTCACTCTGTCTTTCTGTCTCTCACTGTTTCTCTGTCTCTCATTCTGTGCCTCTGTCTCTGTTTCTCTCACTGTCTCTCTCTGTGTCTCTCTATGTCTATCTGTCTCTCACTCTGTGTCTCTATTTCTGTCTCTCTCTTTGTCTCTCTGTCTCTCTTTCTCACTCTGTCTCACTGACACTGTCTCTCTTTCTCACTCTCACTCTGTCTTTCTGTCTCTCACTGTCTCACTCTGTCTCTCACTCTGTGCCTCTGTCTCTGTCTGTCTGTCTGTGTCTCTCACTCTCTTTGTCTCTCTCTCTGACTCTCTTTCTATGTCTGTCACTGTCTCTCTCTCTCAGTCTCACTCTGTCTCTTGTCTCTCTCTTTCACTCTGTCTCGTTGTCTCACTTTCTCTCTGTCTCTCTCACTGTTGCTCTCTGTCTCTCTATCTCTCTCTGTCTCTTTGTTTCTCTCTCTCTCTGTGTCTCTGTCTCTCTTTCTCTCTTGACACGGTGTTAGGTTTGTGGCTTTGGGTCTGGCACCTTTGGATTGGCAAATATCTATCATGTCTTTTTTTTTTTTTTTTAGACATCTACATCTGCATGATCTCGTCCGCCCACAACGTGGCGGCCCAAGGAAAGTACATCGCCATCGTGAGCACGACCGTGGAGACCAGCGAGCCGGACAAGGAGATTAAGCCTGCCATGGACCTGCTGGAGCCCATTGAGCAGAAGTAAGGCTCTTGTGTCAGGATTCCAGCCATCGCCCTAATTATATCATTATTCCTGAGCCAAACTGCAAAAAAACTGCAAAGGATTCATTAGTGGCGATGTACATAAGGGGGCTCTGTGGCGCAGTGGTTAGAGTGCAGTACTGCAGGCTACTTCTGCAGCCAGCTGCCTACAATTTGGCAGTTCAAATCCCACCAGGCTCCAGGTTGACTCAGCCTTCCGTCCTTCCAAGGTGGGTAAAATGAGGACCCCGATTGTTGGGGGCAAGAGGCTGTAAACTGGCCTACGTCATTTACAGTCCCCTGTGACCCTGTTTCCCCCCTGGGTGTCTCTTAAACCAGATTCTCCAATTGAGCACATTCACAGGCTGGGTGTCATCAATCACATTCTCCAATTAAATACATTCACGGGCAAAAGCTCTGGTAGTTTAGCTACACTCTTTTAAAGATAAAGAGTTGGAATGGACTTCCCCTTCCAAACTGCTGCACTGCTCTTTCCGATTTCCTTCCTCTCCCACCCTCCATTTTTTAATGGCAACTGTTAGGGATACACCCTAGCAGAATCTGCACGGCAGGCAGGCAGGCAGGCAAAATATGTGAGATGGACATTTTTGTAGCTTACACTCAGTAAAACAGATACACTGTGATAGTTAAATAGTTTATTCCAGTAAGAGTTATAGCATAGTCAAACAGTCCATATATCATTCACTAATTCAGTCCGTCCAGGGATTATACAGTTGCAAAGTCTAGTGTCGAAAAAAAAGAGGTCAGTAAACTTACAAATATCAGTCCAGTAATATATCTCCTCGCAGTAGAGATATGAAGAAGTCAAACCTCCTTTCTTCCTCCGACGTTCAAAACTCAGCAGTAGGAAAACACGCAGTTAGCAAACCATCAATCCATCAAACCAGCAATCGTCAACAATCCAGCAGGTTCTCTTGCTCCCCCTTATGGCGGTTTCACAACCGCACCCAAAATTACATGCTTTGCAGTTTAAAGTGACACACACTTAAACTTACTATCATAGTTTATATATATTATTTTACCCAAACTATGTTAGGTAACCTTGTTATTCCTAACAGCAACTATTAAAAAAGGCCTAGGAATGTTTTATGAGTTGACAGCTGGCCTGCTGGACTTCGGCTGAGTTGGGTTGGGCTGGCCCCCGTTTGCCGTTGGTGGGGCAGTTGCCGTTCTAGACTGAGGGATTCTGGGAGGTGAAGTCTGCAAGCCTTAAAAGTCTGCCAAGGTTGAGAAATGTAGATTCCCGGGTCTTCATTAAGAGAACCAATAGGAAGGCCTCAACCCAGGACTGTCCAACTATGGCAACCTTTTAAGACTGGTGGACTTCAATTCCCAGAATTCTTCCTGCTGCCTGGCAAATTCTGGGAGTTGAAGCCCACAAGCCTTAAAAGTTGGCCAAGGTTGAGAAATGTAGATTCTCAGGCCTTAAGAGAACCAACAGGAAGGCCTCAGCCCAAGAGTGTCCAGCTATGGCAACTTGGAAGACTCCTGGACTTCAGTTCCCAGAATTCCTCCTCCTGGCTGGGTGAATTCTGGGAGTTGAAGTCCACAAGTCTTAAAGTTGCCGCAATTGAGAAACACACCCTTGGGAAGAAAGAAGAGAACCCAACAGCAAGTTGTGTTCAACTGTGGCAACTTTTTAACACTTGTGGAGTTCAACTCCCAGAATTCCCTCCTGGCTGGGGAATTCTGGGAGTTGAAGTCCACAAGTTTTAAAGTTTGCCAAGGTTGAGAGAAACAGATGTTCAGGCCTTGGGAAGAAAGAAGAGAACGCCCAACAAAGGCCTCAGCCCAGGAGTGTCCAACTATGGCAGCTTTTAAGACTTGTGGACTTCATTTCCCAGAATCCCCCAGCCCAGAGGTTCACAAGTCTTAGGGACACCCCTGCCTTAGCCTCAGGAGGTCAAAATGTAGCAGATTTTGGTTTTGCCGAACTCCCACCTGCCAGAGGCCTCCGACAGAAATTTCAATATAGAGTTTGATTGCTTATTGTCCCCTATGACTATCAGTAAGTGTTGTCCCTGATGATTCTTGACTCTTGGCGAATGTCTCTTTTTATGTCCACTGAGAGCATTTGCAGCAAGACAAATTCCTTGTGTGTCCAATCACACTTGGCCAATAAAGAGTTCTATTCTATTCGATTTGATTCTATTCTATATTCTATTCTATTCTATATTCTATTCTATTCTATATTCCATTCCATTCTATATTCTATTCTATTCTATTCTATTCTATATTCTATTCTATATTCTATTTTATATTCTATTCTATATTCCATTCCATTCCATTCCATTCTATATTCTATTCTATTCTTATTGTACCCTATGACTATTATTAAGTGTTGCACCTGATGATTCTTGACTCTTGACAGATGTTTCTTTTATGTACACTGAGAGCATTTGCACCCAAATTCCTCGTGTGTCCAATCACACTTGGCCAATGAGGAATTCTATTCTATTCTATTCTATTCTATTCTATTCTATTCTATTCTATTCTATCTATTCTATTCTATATTCTATTCTATATTCTATTCTATTCTATATCTATTCTATATTCTATTCCATTCCATATTCTAGTCTATTCTATATTCTATTCTATTCTATTCCATTCCATTCCATTCCATTCCATTCTATTCTATATTCTATTCTATATTCTATTCTATTCTTATTGTACTCTATGACTATCATTAAATGTCATACCTGATGATTCTTGACTCTTGACGAATGTCTCTTTCCTTTTATGTACACTGAGAGCATTTGCACCAAAGACAAATTCCTTGTGTGTCCACTTGGCCAATAAAGTATTCTATTCCTATTCTATTCTATTCTATTCTATTCTATTCTATTCTATTCTATTCTATTCTATTCTATATTCTATTCTGTTCTGTTCTATTCTAGCCACCCATCTCAATCAGTGTCTCTGAAGTTTACAGTTCCTAACGTTACTCTACTCTGACTATATTGTACGGTTATATAGCGCTTAATACTCTCCGTTGCTTCGATCCACACGGAGTAGAGAGAGTTGAGATACGGGGCTAACATCCTTAAGCAGTCCACGTTTGCAACCGCCAAATGAGAAAAGAAGGCAGCCACGTCCAGCAGGGGAAGTGGAATAACACCTGTGGAACTAAAGATTGTCCTGTTTGTGCCTTTCGACCTGGAAATAAAAACGGGGGGGGGGGGGGGGTTGGGTAGGCCCACACCCCTATTGCCCGAACTCCTCCTAAGTTGCTCTTTTCTTTCTCCTTGTAGGTTTGAGGGCATCAGCGACTTGTTTTCCCCAACCGACCTGGGCAGAGAAAGCCAGGTTGGTATGAAGGGGGGGGGGGGGGAGGGGCCCCTTCCTGGGGCAAGTGGGGAGGGGATAAATCCACCCCATTTAGGCACTGACCCTTCGGTTTAATTTGTGGTTTAACGTTTCTCATTTTAATGCTTCGTGTTACCATATTTGTCACTTTTAATTCCCTAAATTGTTTTGAATGATACTTTACGCTGCCCAGAGTCGCTCAATAATGAGGTGAGTAGGAAGGGAAAGGAAGGAAGGAAGGAAGGAGAGAAAGGAAGAAGAAGAGGAAGGAAGGAGGAAGATAAATGGAAGGAGGAAGGAAAAAGAAAGAAAAAAGGAAAAGAGATGACAAGGGAAAGAGGGAAGGAGAAAAAATGAGGGTAAGGAAGAAATGAGAAGGAAGGAGGAAAGAAAAAGAGGGAAGGAAGAGAAAAAGAAAAGAGAAAGAAGGGAGGGAAGGATTTGGAAAGAGGGAAAGGAAGGAAGGAAGGAAGATCTAGAAAGAGGAAAAGGAAGGAGAAAAGGAGGAAGGAAGCGGAAGAAGGGAATAAAGGGAGGGAGGGAAGATGAGAGAAGGAAGGATTTGGGAAGAGGGAAATGAAGGAAGGAAGGAAGATCTAGGAAGGAGAGAAAAAGATGAGAAAGAAAAGGAAGAGAAGAAAGAAAGAGAAGAAAAAGGAAGGAGGTAGAGAAATATAAGGAAGGAGGAAGGAAAAAGGAAAGGAGGAAA